CCTAAATGCCCCTAAGTTTTTTTTTTCTTTTTTTTTTTTTTTTGAGGGGGGGGGGGGGGGAATTGGTTTGAAGGATTTTTCTTTTATATAGATATAGATATAAATATCAGTAAAAATTAGGAATCTTATAAAAATAGATTCTTAGCTAAATATAACTTATGTATGTATTTGGCTATGTAATTTTTATTTATTTTTTTTTTCAAAACAGAATAGGTAATCTATATAAAATACAAAATTTAGAATTAATTTTTGAATAATATCAGTAAAAATTAGGATAAAATCTAAATAAAATTATAGATAATTACACCACAACTGACTGGATATAGAAGATTATAAGCAAAATTAAGCAATCTTATCTCCCCTCACCAAATGATAAAGATGAAAAAAAATTCAAGCATTAAGGCCATAACAGTTTTAAAAAGCCCCAACACATGATATGCAATAACATATTAAACCCAGTGGCATTACATCTTGAAATTTCAATCTTCACCCACTTCTGTAGCATGTTGAAATTAATTTCTTAGGATTTGTATCTTTCATTTATTGAAGTTAAAGCCTATGAATACAACCAATGCTCTGCTCAACTAAACCAAACTAAGCCTAGCTAATTAGATTTCTCCATCATGTATTCAGATTATCTTAATTCACTAACTAAAGAAATGTTAAGGTAATGAGTTCATCAATCAAATCTAATAAGTTGAAAATAAATAATCATACTGAAAATCTGAAATACTCAGTAAAACAGAAATGCACTTCTAGTGTCTTTGTATATATTTTTCGTTATATTGTATTTGGCATTAGATGATTTCAATTACAAATCAAATCTGACCAACATTTATTTGTTTTTTACAGGCAAGCCAAGTTCATTATGTTTTAATCACTCCATGTGCAAAAAATTGCAGCCTTAAAACAGTATTACCAGGGTATGTTTTAAAGTTTTGTTTTTTGCTCTATTAAATATGCTTAGTTGATAATGTTACTCTGTTAGGCACAAATATGAAAAACATATATAAAACATGCATCCATTATTTTTAAAACAGCCACAACATTGATAAAAATTAAATGTGGCATTCATCACTGATTTCAAAAACAAATAAGGAATAAGGAATAATATAAACAGTAAAACATTAATAAGGATTTCAAGATATAATTCGTCATAGCAAAACATAGTAAAATATGCAGGCAAAAAAACATGAGATTCTGAAAAACAATTACATCAAACAACTTAAACTTCTTAGATAAAAACCATATAACATATCCCCAAAAACAGCTGAATTAAAAACTTCTCCTTCTTTATCACATCATCTCTTAGTCTCTTAGGAACTTCAATTTCCGTGAAGTCATCCATGAGACACCTCTTCACACATGCAGCAGCACTTTTGCGTGATTTCCTTCCAGATACTTCAATCAAAATCATTCTGAACACCTAAAATCCTTGCAGCTATCCAATACTCACATAATTGCATAGGAGGAAAATTTAATAAAGAATTCAACTTGGACAAACTACCATTAAAACAATATCTAAAAACTGTAATTCTAAAAATAGGCTTTCATTACCTCCTCCCTACTGTAAACATCTTCCAGCTCAGTCACCACAATCTCACTACTTGAACTGCCAATGGATATATAGGAAATGAAAGCCTAGACCTGGACTCTATCTTCCTCAAAGGAGTCATCTCTAATGGCAGACTACAACAATAATAAAAAAATTATATTAATAACCAAATAATAATAATTACCTACACTGGCAGATTAAAAATAATAATAAATACATTAAAAAACCTCTGAAATTGATCTTAAAACTAAAAATGAGAAACCTTTCTTTGAAATTGATAAACTCAATGAGTTTTGATTGAACAACACTTAGGTGACATCATAGGAGCTGCAAAGTCTCACCCCTCCATCTAAAATCAAATAAAAACCATTAGTATGTGTCTGTATATAAGAATAGTAGTACGAACATTAAAAATAAGGCTTATACTCAGTATTAACACCATGTTTAACCGTACAAAACTGTAGCAAAACAACCACAAGATCAGTGAAGTTTGATTGAAAGAATGACTCAATTTTGGCTACATATTCATCCCAAAACGTACACCTTGGTTGATTAACCCTACAAATAAGTGTGTAGTAGTTTAATGATACTCAGACTGTACATTAAAAAATTAACAGAAAAAACTATAGATTGAATATATACTTACTTCGCATAGATCTCATATATGCAAATCTGAAATCTGAAAAAGAGAACAACTTACTAATTTCGGATGTTAAAAACTGAATGAAACAGTGTTACGTTAAATGCATGTACCTCTACATCATGGAAACAACCTCTATACTCTTGATTCCAGATGACCATTTTCTTTCCAACCACGTGCGTACAACTCTGACCTTGATTGCGCTTCTTGTTTTGAAGGTTGAGCAATCACGTTGCAGTATGAATAGACCCATGATGGAGAGAAGAAAATAACGTATAAGTACCCTACTGTATATTGAGTGTTTGTATTCGATATTTATGATGTATATATGGTCTGAAGTTGGTACAACTCAAAAGTTGGGTACTGATAGGCTTATTATGGTTTTATTAGATCTCATATATTAGGGTAATATTATTTTGTAACCATATTTATTTGTTATTATCCTTATTTGTTTTATTGTATGTTATTAATATTTAGTAGCCATAAATATTGGGGTAATATTATTTGCTACCATATTTGTTATTATCCTTATTTGTTTTATTGTATGTTATTAATATTTAGTAGCCATAAATATTGGGGTAATATTATTTGCTACCATATTTAGTTGTTATTATTTCCTTAACTAATTAGTAAGACATGGAACATTTAGGAAACATATATAGAGTAATAAGTATGTATACGCGGATATGAATAATATATAATTTTTATAATTAATTAAATTTGAATATTACACAAATGTCCTTAAGTTTTGGGGGGAAAATTTGGGATGGAGGATTTTACTTTTATATATATATAGATTTTATTCAATTAGTAAGAAGGCATATAACAAAAGTATTACTCTATAAATGGATAATTAGTATTTACCTTTTAAATAAGAATTTTGAAAGTGTATTTACTTACTTGATGTGATTAAAAAATGAATACAAGTGTGAAATAAATAAATTACCACATTAGATTTTGAAGTATATATGATTATGGAATTAGTAATGATTTAATAAAATATATTTACTAATTTGGAATTTTCATTTAATAATTATCAATTGATTTTAATTACATTAGTGTCCTAGACATTCCATACTCTCCTTTTTTCAAAGGGCAAATATGATTGATATACCTCTTGAGTCAAGGTTAGGTTGTCACATTCTAATGAAGAGACCCAATCATGATGATTAACATCATCACATCAAGTCCCATCTCCCCTAGCTACTCAACCAATTAAAGACCACATTGCCCAAAACCTAATCTACATCCCTATCTCCCTCAAAGGAGAACTAATCACACACATTGGAAATGACAATAGCAAGGAATTCAATTAACAAAAACACAATCCATAACAAACAACAAGCTAAGTAAACGATCAAAGCAATAAAGCTGGAAAGTAAATTGGAAAGAGCTTAGATAAATGGAGATGAATTGAAATTGAATCTTCAAGTCCTCAATCTTTGCTTCAAATGTAAAAGAAATTGAAATTGCAATTGAAATGTAAATTATGTATTGAAATCTAAGAACATGAAAGGAAATTCTATTCAAAATCTAATCTAAAAATCCTACTTCTACCCTAGGGTTTAATGCCCCTCTTGGATGGGAGAAAAAGGGGCCAAAATAGAATTTCAAGAATATGTTGGCTTGAGGAGTTTGACGAGGCGAACCTCTCGAAATGGCGATTCTACCCCTTGATCAACCCCAACATTATTGATGCCTTCCATTAAGAACTGGATTACGAGCGTAACACTTCTCATAATAGCATAATCAACTTTCTGATGCTCACCGTTACGAAGCTTCGTTATGAGCGTACGTAATAGCACTTGTAATAGCAGGAATGGTCTTCTAATCCAGAGCGTTACAGACCTTGTTATGAGCATAACTCAACTCGTAATAATAGACTTTTACTTCCCATTTTTGGTCCATTTTATCCAATTTACCCTTGATTTGGCCCTATTTTCCTACAAAAGACAAAAAAGGCCTCAAAGTATTTCCATTATATTAACACAATTTATCACATTTCAAGGCATTCCAAACACAAATAGAACAAATCCAATCCTAATTTAGTCACAAAATGTCCCTAAAAAGTAGTAGAATTTGGCACTCATCAGTGCTTAATATGATGGTGATTCATACTTAATTAAGTTGAGGTTAAACATTTTCTCTCTCGTGCAACATGTTTGGTTATCAATTTTCATGGTATAAATTTTGTTTTTTTTAAAAAAATAAATAAATTATCAAATAGTAATAAAATAATACGAAATAGAAATAACAACACAATCAAGTGATATTCTCATTATATGTTTTTTTTAATGACAGGCCACGCAAATATTTTTGTTTGAATGTCGAAATCTTGAGAACAGTGAATGAAACTGCTAAACCAGTTGAGGAGTGCCGATCTTGGTTGCATCGAGACGTAAAATAAGGGCAAGAATATATCCTAGGATACAAAACACGTGAGAAAAGTACAACTATAAAAAATTTGTGTATTTTAAAAAAAAATCTTCATTTATGCATAAATATTAATTGTTTGTCATATTCTTATTTGGAAAAATATATTTTAAGATTTTCTAGGAGAAATTGTTTTAGAACATTTAATGAAATTTCTATAAATGTGTGGAAGGAGATATTTTTCCAAAAGATAAAAATCTATTTTTTCACGTAAGAGCTTACGTCAGGGAGCTGTGACGTAAGTGCTAACGTCAAGGAGCTGTGACGTAAGTGCTAACGTCAAGGAGCTCTGACATAAGTGCTAACGTCATTCAACCAAAATATCTCTCCTATATAATGTTGCCTAAACAACAGTCTTCACCACAACCAGTACACAATCTGAAAAATGGAAACAACCTTGTTCTAGTTTGCATGATTCATGTCTTGTGAGTTCTCATTTTCATCTAAGGTTGCATTTTTTCTTGTTTTTCATTTACTCCACTGATGTTTGATTGATCTTCTTTTTGACCTCTCGATTAGACATATCAAATATATCATTCTAGACTGTTATTTGTTTTCAGGTTGTTTCTTTTTTGTTGTAGAGAACTACTTCTTTACGATCTATCCTTAAAACACATATGTATGGTGGTTGTATCTTTTTTGTTTTTTTTCTTTTTTAATATTGTGAAAGGCATATAATCAATATTATGTTTCACGCTTTCATGTCTAATGTATATTGAGTGTATATGTCTTAGATTTTTTTTTTGAGAAATTATATATCCGAGATTTATTTTTTTGTTCATCGGACTGAAATGAGAGTGTTTTTTTAGATGGATCTAATATATAATCTTTTGATACCTTGTCAATTTGTTTCATTTTTTTTTTATTTTATTTTTTAGATCTGATTATACCTAAGATTTTTAAAGCTAGATTTTCTATGGAGTTGCGGATCCAACATTGTAGAATCAGATCTTATTCTTATGTTTATGCTCTTTCATGTTTAATGTATATGTCTTTTTTTTTTTTTTTTTTTTTGGAGTAATTATATGTATGAGAGATTGTTTGTTCATTTGCTCAAATGAGAGTGTTTTTTTTAGATCGATCTGATTTTGCTATAATATTTTTGTTTTTCTATTACTTTGTTTTTCGATCACTATTTCCAAACTTTCATTCCTTGTCTAAATGTTTTGAATTTTTTACTTTTATTTAGTTTAATTTCTAAGAATTTTTAAAGCTAGATTTGTTGTAGGATTGCAGATTGTAGAATGTGATTATGTTTCACATTTTTCATGTCTAATGTATATTGACTATTGAGTCGTATATATGTTGCTATTTGTTATGATCTTTCCGTGTATCTATTACTTTTTTCTCTCATCAGTGTGCCACATTAGGAATGCCTTTTGGACTTTGATTCCTTCGGTTGTTTCAAATTTTGTGAATGTATGCTCTATTAGAATTGGTTCTTGTGTTACACTTCTTTCTCATCTTAATACATCAGTGAATATATATGTCTGGGATTTCTTTGTTCATCACTTGAAATGAGATCAAAGTCTCCTTATTATGTTTTAAAAAAAAAGTCTCATTATTGTTGTTGTTATTATTATTATTATTATTATTATTATTATTATTATTATTATTATTATTATTATTATTATTGTTATTGTTATTGTTATTGTTATTGTTATTGTTATTGTTATTATTATTATTATTATTATTATTTTGTTTTGTTTTTTGTAAGATTAAAGATCTTATATGATTTTGTTGTAATCTTTTTCTTTCTTCATTTTCTTGTGTATCTTACAATTTGCTTTTGCATTGACAATTGCAGCAAAAGAGTGCTTGGTGCCAAAGATATACTAGCTCTATCTCCCTAAGATAAAGAGTTAGGAGTTATTAGACAAAAAACTCCATATTGCAATGAATGAGCTTAGGTCTCAAACCCAGTAAAATAGCCCAAAAATAAATTGGAGGATATGTTCTGTCTCAACTAAAAGTACATTTACCTTTTATATTATACGCTCAATGCTCAAGAAAGCCAACTGTGGAAGCTCACAACTGGCTATGTGGGATGATCCCATGGAAGTTGAGCTTGAGAAGCTTCTAATTCCTCACATAAAGGATGTTTCCCAGAACAGAATCAAGAAGATTATTGAATCCCCAGTACACATTTCCAGGCGCCACATAATCACAGTGAAACCAAAACAGAAACGACATATGTTATTTGATTTCAAGCGCAAAACTCAGGTGCTGCTTTCACCTGAAATGGAAGACTAGATGAGCTCTGCTGGAAATCTCACTAGCTAACGGGGTTTATTGGTCAGAAAATGGATTTCCGACCAACATACCAACCAAAATGATGACCCGGAAAATGGTCATCATATGGGTATTTCCGTCCAACATCAGATGTAAACTCCACGGCTCAAGCATTACGGAAACTAGAAACTAAGGCAACTATATGAATTGAAAGTTAAACTAGTTACTATATATCAACGTCAATGTTAATCCACATCGTAGAAACTCTGTCATTCATAAATATATTGCTAGAAAAGAAAAAATAATGTTCATGAACAACATGGTTAAAAATTACTCCAATTATAATATGGAGTAAATGTTTGTAGTTGTTGGATATTAGTTGTTGGCTCGGTCTAAATTTATTATCGTTTTTGGAAGTGTACTTTAAATTGTACTCCGTAGTAAATAAGTCTTATTTAATGTAGTTCAAATCCTTTGATGACATTATATACATGACAATTTTTTTTTAAACTTACTGTTGATCCACCACACATATGAGTTGAAACGAGCTGATGAATATTTAAGTATTCGATTTCCGTCCAACAATATTGGTTGATAAATGGTCGAACTTTATTTAAGTACTCGATTTCCGTCCAACAATATTGGTTGATAAATGGTCCAACTTACCAGTCTAACTTCTTACTTAGCAATCTATTAGGGTTTATCGTCCAACATATAAACGTTGGTGGTCGAACTTACAAGTCTAACTTCTTACTTACCAATCTATTAGAACATTATAACTAACCAACATATAATGTTCGTTATAAATTCCAATTAACATATAAAAAAAATTTCATCCAACCATCTTTTTTTTTTTTTTTTTAAATGCTTCTGACTCTATTATACGTTCAAACATACTTTCTCAACCTAATGAAGCACAAAGAGTCAACAATACCTCCACTGAGGCTCGACCTCATGAGTTCCCACATGGAAGAAGTCACTACATGCGAACATGCCATCTGAACACAAGGTACTTGGCGTCCAACCATCTTTGTCATCTTTGACTTTTTTTCCTTTTTTTTTTTTTTTTTCCAAAAAACCAATCAATGTTTCTATTGGGCGGAAATGTTAGTATAAAAAGCGAATATTTTAGCAGTGTATTACATTTAAAAAAATAAATAACGTGGACTCAGATTTGAATGAATACTTCCATTTGGCTTATAGTTATCGTCCTCAATATAATCACATTTTAGTTATCCATACGTCAAATAACAGTTTATCTTTATATAACTTTAGGTAAGGAACTTCAGGTTCTAGTACGTTCTCATTATCCTCCTTAGGTCTAAATGGGTCCTTTTCCACTTTAAGGGACCGGACTACGACCATTGGAGTGCTAAGGGGATGAGATTTATCCATATAGAATTTCTTCAATAATTTATTAACATAGTTAGCTTGATGAATGAAAATTCCACTGGGGAGATGCTCGATCTGCAGGCCTAGACAAAACTTGGTTTTTTCCAAGCCTTTCATTTCAAATTCTGCCTTTAAGCATGAACATGCTTCTATAAGGTCTTCCTTTGTCCCAATAATGTTCATGTCATCGACATAGACAGACATAATACAGAAGCCATTAGATGACTTCTTAATGAATATACAAGGACAAATATCATTTTTCACATATCCCTTCTTCAGGAGGAATTCACTCAAGCGGTTATACCACATTCTACCCGATTGCTTCAAGTCATATAATGACTTTTGAAGTTTGATGCTATACATGTTTCGATCTTTCTCCCTCATATTGGAATTTTGAATACCCTCGGGTATTTTCATGTATATATCAACATCTAGTAACCCATAAAGGTAAGCTGTCACTACGTACCCATCAACTGCATATCTAATTTCATGTTTACTGCCAATGATATTAAATAGCGGAATGAAATGCCATCAATAACAGGAGAGTATGTTTGATCAAAATCAATTCCAGGTCTCTGCGTGAACCCCTAAGCTACCAATCTCGCTTTATATCTAACCACCTCATTGTTTTCATTCCTCTTCCGTACGAATACCCACTTAGATCTTACTGGGATCACATCTTTTGGGGTAAGTACGGTGGGACCAAAAACTTTTCCTTAATTAAGCAAGTTGAGCTCTGCCTCCATTGCTTGTTTCCACTTCAACCAGTCAGAGCGCTTCTAGAACTCGCTTATTGACTTTGGTTTTGGATCCAGATTATTTTATGGAATATTACAGGCAACTGCATAGGCAAAAGTGTCGTCAACGACTATTAAATCTCTGTTATATGTTTCTCCTGTATCAACAAAATTTATGGTCATTTCTATATTGACATCAACCAGATCATCGTCATTTCCCAACCAGATCATCGTCATTTCCCAAAATATTCTGATTTGGATGTTCCGCATCCCCCGTGTTCATATTGCTTAAAGCATGTGCATATTCACTGGGTTCTCCGTCTTCGGGACAGTTAACATTTTTCTGGAGTGACTGAGATATTTTACTAATTCTCGTCTTCCGCGGATTTAAATCTTTTACAGCAATTGGTCTCCCACGCTTCTAGCGATGGGGAGTGTCAGTGTGCATACTTGGTCCCTTGGGGACTTCAACTCTCGAAGGAGCATTCGCAGCAGGGATATGGGACCTAGTCACTCTTCTGTTATCAGTAAAAACATCTGGAAGGTTATTTGCTAAATTTTGCAAATTAATAATTTTCTGAACTTCTAGTTCAGTTTGACTAGTACGTGGGTCTAAATACTGAAGATCCTTTTCATCCCATGAGATTTCCTAGCATTTCGATAAATAAGATCTTTTATCTCCCCCTAATGTCGGGAAATGATCTTCGTAAAAAATGCAGTCAGCGTACCTCGCGTTAAACTGATCTACTGTCATGGGCTCTAGGTATTTAATGATGGAAGGAGATTCATAACCAACATATATACCTAGTTTTCACTGCGGGCCCATGGAGGTATGGTTTGTAGGTGGTATGGGGGTATAGACTGCACACCCAAATACACGTAGATGGGAAATGTTAAGTTTTACACCACGTAATAGTCGTAAGAGGGAATAATCATGATATGCAGTGGGTCGGATTTGTATTAAAGCTGCAGCATGTAATACTGCATGTCCCCAACATGACATCGGTAAACCAGACTTCTGCAATAGTGGTCTAGCGATTAATTAATTTAATACGCTTAATCAAAGATTCAGCCAGGCCATTCTGAGTATGGACATAAGGTAGTACTGGGTGCTCCACTTTGATGCCTAAGGCCATACAATAATCATTGAAATCCGTTGATGTGAATTCTCCAGCATTATCCATTCTTATTGATTTAATGGGATAATCTGGGAATTGGGCATTCAACTCAATAATTTTCGCAACAAATTCAGCGAAAGCTTTGCTCCTCGTGGATAGTAGACTAACATGAGTCCAACGAGTGGAAGCATCAATAAGAACCATAAAATATCTAAATAGCCCAAAAGGTGGAATAATAGGTCCACAAATGTCGCCCTGCAATCTCTGCAGAAATATAGGTGATTCATGTCCAACATTAGTACGCGACGGGCGTACAATATATTTACCTTTCGCACAAGCTACACATGTAAACATATTTGGCGAAAGTACCTGAGATCTCGACAGGTTATGTCCAACAGAATTAGATATCATCCGACCCATCATATTCTGCCCGGGATGACCTAGACAGTCATGCCACAATTGAAAAGAATATGGATTTTTGAGTTTCATGGTTAGTGCAACACATGAAGTTTTGGGTTGTATATATGTATAATATAACCCAGAAGATAAGGAGGCAAGTTCCTCAACCTCTCGCTTTTGACCAGTGATTAGCTAAGTCATGATTAAGAACTCCTCATTGTTCTTAGTCTTGGTCTCGATATGGAAACCATTTGAACGAATATCCTTAAAACTCAGCAAGGTTCGTTTAGATTGAGGGTACAACAAAGTATTTTCAATCATTAGCTTTGTACCTTTAGGGAAGATGATGGATGCTCTTCCGGAGCCCACTATTTGTACCTCATCATTAGTAATGGTAGTAATATTACTACTTGATTTGTTCAAGGTACGGAAAAACCTCCTATCCGTAAGGATAGTATGTGTGGTTGCACTATCCACCAGACACAATATTAGTTCGTGCTCCATTGTGTAGACAAGATTTTGTAATGCTGTAAGATCTTAGAAGTAAAATCAAAAGGAAAAAGATCAAATAAGTGATCAAAAGGAATAAACCTTTCGAAAAATCTTTCTAGGAGGAAAAAAAAAACTTGAAAAGTAAAGAGATTCCTTCTAGAAAGAAAGTCGCCCTCGGAAGGTAAAGAACCCTCAGAAGGGTAAAGAGCCTTCGAAAGGGTAAAGAACCCTCGGAAGGGTAAAGGACCTTAGAGAGGGTAAAGAACCTTCGAAAGGGTAAAGAACCCTCAGAAGGGTAAAGGACCCTCGGAAGTTCACTGTCTTTTACCTTTCGGGCAAAAACTGAAAACTTGGGGGTTACTTCTCGAACAGATGCTGTTTATTATAAATTAACCATCGCATTGGGATAAAACCAGCATGAGAATGAAGTACAAAAGGTATTAAAAACATAAGTCCATAATCCAAAAAGGATAAAGAGAACATAGGTTCATAAAAAATAAAAAAACAAAAATAAAAAACAGACTGATCATCCTTGATCACCAAAATTTTCAAGCTCATATTTAAAAAAAATCATCGCCATCATTCATCACTGCATTTGCTTCAGGCAAATCAGCGCTAGTGTGATGAGATTCTTTTCCAGATGGTTGTTTATCATTTTTACTTTGCATCTGTTTGTACGCATCAACGAGATGCTTTGGTGTGCGAAACGTACGAGACCAGTGCCCCGTACATCCACACCGATAGCAGGTTTGTGACTTTGATGAACTTTGATCACTTTGTTTCTTATCTTGGACCCGGGAGCCATTGTTTCCTTTGCCTCTACCACCGCGGTTGTTCCGACCATGACCTCTACCACGACTCTTTCCTCGACCCCTTCTCGAATTTCTTCCTTGAGCAACATAATGTGCTTCAAGCACGGGGGCAGACCCAACCGGTCGCGCATTATGGTTTTTCATCAACGGCTAGTAATGCTTCTCGGCCACAAGGAGTGCATTAGGTCAGAATGTTTTTCATAATTCTTTGCCATCGCATGAAAAGTAGACAAAGCCTTCTCAATTAAGTCTTTCTCTAAAACTTCTTGTTTGCAGAGCTTTAGTTGCGAGACTATTTTATGAAGGGCCGAGTTGTAGTCAATAACTGACTTATAGTCCTGAAACCTCAGGTGTAGCCAGTCAAATTGGGCTTGAGGGAGAACAATCGATGACTGCTAGTCAAAACAGTCCTTCAGGGATTTCCATAATGCAGAAGGGTCATTTTTCAGTCAAGTATTCATTTTTCAGGTCGTGGTTCAAGTAGTGACGTAGTAAAATGAGAGCCTGGGCCTTCTGGACGGTAGTACACTGTGACTCGGCAACAATGGTTTGACTTA